GCGGGTGTGTCTTCGAAAGGTTCACCCTCAAGCAGGACTAGGAGCCTGTGGAGCCCAGAGGCCTGGGAGGGGCCCCTCTGCATCCCCTGGTGTCTGGCTTCTGCCCGAGCCTCTCCCTGGAACTGCTGGCCATTCTTTTAACCACCCTGAGCCCTCTCCCATGCACTGGACCAAATGAAACGACAAAGCTTTTCGCAGCAAAAATAAAATAAAATTTAAAAATGTATAACAGACACTGAGCTCATTGGCTCACTTTTCAGCATATATGAAATGCCCAATGTACACACTTTTAAACATGAAAAATCTGATTTTTGGAAGCACGCCTTTGTGGGGAAAATATACGCAAATGCAAATATAAAAATAAATTGGCTCCAATCTAATCTCTAACACAATGAAGAAGAAAACAACAACATGAGAGCAACAAAAGCAAATAACGAAACAGGCCACCCCAACCCTTACAATGAAGCCGGACCCAGGAGAGAATGGACGGGGTGACTGACAGACCCCCGGCCAGCACAGACAAAAGGCTGCATTGTCAGCAGGCAGCACTCGAGCACTCGAGGCATAGGGAGAAATCCCAGGAGAGGCTTCCACTTAACGATGCGCTCACACACGCAATTAGGCTGCACACACAGGGCTCCTCGGCACAGCCACCTCGTCCCGGACACTGTAATGAGGACCCAGCGCCACGGACGGTGTGTGTGAGCTGAGACTCTCTGTACACCCGGATTTCAATCTGCGGAAGCAGAGGATGGAAAGCTAACCAGGCTCCTGAGGTACTGCATGACCTTGGGCAAGTACCCCGTGATCATCGGGCTCAACCCCCAGCACGGGCGGTCCCTGCCCGGGTGAGCCGTCCTCAGGCAGGGGTGAATGGCTTCCTGAGAAAGTGCTTCCCAGAAGGTTAACTGCAGCACGTGAAGAGCCGGGCCAAGGGCCTAGGACGGGAGGAGTGTCGGGGACGCCCACCCACCAGGACCACGTACACAGCATCAGCCTTCCGCAGACAGGGCCCTTCGAATGCCACGGCCCAGCTTCCACCCGTGTACCTGAGACGGAAAGGTCTCCCATACGAGATCGCCAGCCTATCCAGTTATCCCTGACAAACCAGTGACTGAAACCTACAGTTTTGTGGAGAATTAAGGGGACACACAGTAATCTGTAATTTATGTAGATCTTGGTTTTTTGTTGTGTTTTTTTAATCCTTACCTGAGGATATGCTTATTGATTTGAGAGAGAGAGAGAGAAACATCGATCGGCTGCCTCCTCCTATACATACCCCCATGGGTATTGAACTCTCAACTCAGGTATGTGCCCGGACTGGGAATCAAACCCACAGCCCTTTGATATACAGGTTGACCCTCCAACCACCCCAGCTACAAGGCCAGAGAGGCTTACTCCGATCTTGCTTGACCTGTTCTAACAATTATTGTCAGAGCAAAATTTTGCATGTACTGTTTTCTTACCATCCAGTGAAGACAAGCTCAAGCCCGGAGGGTCACAGATTAAAGCTTTAGTGCCTTCTTTAATAGGATGCTTTGACTTGGGATTTAACAAATGACTAGAATTTTAAAATATACATATGAGAGTGTTAAATTCTGCATACAAAACAGCTCACAATGGGATGCACAATAGAATAATCCACACATAAAATGAAACTGTTTGCAATTCATTATGTCTGTATTAGCTCCCTCTGGGAAAGGGAAGGAGAGAGGGAGGGAGGAAGGGGGCTTACAGTATCCTTGGTCAGAAATTTAACAAACTGTGCACCAACTGGCTGTGCTCATTCTGTATGAGAGGAAACCAGTCCTCCTTATCCAGGATCTTTATTAAACTGTCACATGGAAGTCAGACACTATAGTCAAACATTTGGTAAAAAATACCCCCAGAACAAAGGGGGACGCCTGGGTACCTTCAATAAAATGTCAAAACAAACAAAAATAGGGTCTCTCCCTTCGCCTCAGACAGAACGAGAGGTGACAGGTCACCACACTCACCGCATGCCCACGTACGGTCACTCACGTCAGAGCAGGTTTTAGACAGGGCACTGGCAGGTAACAGCACGTGAAAAGACTTAAACTCACAGTTTCCGAGACCTAGCTGCAGGAACTAAAATCTTGCATGTACCGTCACCAAGACCACAGCCAGAGCCCACCATCCTCCTCCCAGATGGAGCACGCGACGCCCCCAGGGGCCTGTGTACCACGGCCCCCGGCCCAGCACTCCCCTCCCTACCAGGGGGCGGTCTATAGTCCTGGGTGACTGTTCCAGGTTGGTCCCCTATGGGGCTTCCACGTCACCAAGGCAGGGCCCGACCATGCTTCCCATTGTATCTCCATCCCTAAGCAGAAGCTGGAAGGCTGATGCTCAAATTGGGAATGAATGAATGAATGAATGAATGAACGAACCAACCTACTTCCCTGCCTCCTGACATGCCTCCTGCTAACTGAGGACCTTCCTCCTGACTCACTCCCAACAGCCATTTGACTGCCACACGAATGAAGCACAGGAAACAGATGTTCTGTTTTCCTATTATTTTCACAATTTACTTTCTGTTTCAGGACACAGGAAGTCAAAGATTAAAGAGGCACAGAATCAAGTTCCTGGCCACTTAAAAAACAAACCCGGGTGGCCAGCCGACAGGGCTCTCCGGCTGCGGGGCCGCTGGGCTTGAATAGGTAACACCCCGGCCTGCTTCCTTCTTCTATTGATAAGCCCAATGTTCCATAGGAATAATACATTTTTTTCTCTATTTTCTCTTTCTGCAACGCAAACACATAAAATGTGAATAAATAGAAGTGCCAGGGCATATGGGAGGCCAGAGAGTCCATGGAGAGACCCAGGGACTGAGTCTGCAGGTGGCCAGTGAGCCAGCGCCCGGTCCTTCCCCTGCGCAGGCCTCCCCTCGGCGGCCGGGCCCGGGCTGTGTCCACTGACTACACGGTTAAGGATCCAGGCTCAGGGCCCCAAGTCGGATCCAATCCAGGCGGAGCACCTTTGGTCAAACAACGTAACTTTCCTGAGCCTCAATGTCTAACTCTAAACTTTATAACTTTTTCCTTGAGGATGAAAATGGACAGTTCCTGTTAATGATGTGAAATGCTGAGGATGGTCCCCACTCGGTTAGCAGCTACTTTGACCACTAACAATTACAGAGTCCATGGTTTAGTTAAAAAAAAAAAAAAATATATATATATATATATATATATATACACACACATATATATATACATATATATATATGCATGTATGTTATATAATTACCATATGAAATATGCTAAGTAACCTCAATTTTATTTTTAAAACGTATTGCTTGGCCAGCATGGCTCAGTGGTTGAGCATTGACCTAGGAACCAAAAGTCACGGCTCGATTCCTGGTCAGGGCATATGCCCGGATAGCGGGCTCCATCCCCAGTGTGGGGTGTGCAGGAGGCAGCCGACCGATGATTCAGAGAGAAGTCTGTTGACGGAAGCAGGCAGCTGGCTGGATCTGGCCCTGGGCCTCATGGGGACCCTTCCCTGACATTTCACCTGAACGTCAGGGGGTGCGGGCTCCTCGATGTGAACAGTGACCTGCCTGTCAGATCCTGAAGAAGCCCACGTGCCTCCGTGCCCGGTGCTTCCCAGGCTGGCTGGCCTTCTCGAAGCCACCAGCAGCGCGGCCCTGCAGGTGGGCCCACAGGTTTTAACTGGGGGGGTCTGCCCCACAGCAGGCCCCGGGAATGGCCGGCAGATGGACTTGAGCTTTGAAATTTAATAAAATGCTACCGAGTGGTATTCCTTCAATTTCATCTGAAAACTAATTTGGACATTGGAAAGAAAAGCATACAATCCGGTTTGGGGGAAGTTGCCACCAATTTTACTAATATTAGCAGGCCTCCCCGGGGCTGGTGCCGAAGGAGGCCTCTGTGCCTCTGGGCGGCTCGGGCAGCCGCTAAAGACACCAGGCCCAGCTGCCCGCTCTGCCCCAGCCCCAGGGCACCACAGGGCGTGGGCTGCCACCGAGGATTTAAACCAGAAGAGAGGGGCCCCGAGGGTTTCTTTCCCAGGGATGCCATCTGGAACGGGACGGATGGCCTGACCGGTGTTGCTCCGTGGTTGAGCATAGGTAGACCTATGAACCAGGAGGCCACGGTCAAAGCACATGCCAGGGTTGTGGGTTCCATCTCCAGGAGGGGGCATGCAGGAGGCAGCTCGTCAATGACTCTCTCTCATCATTGATGTTTCTATTCCTCTCCCTTCCTCTCTCTGAAATCAATATTAAAAAGAAGAAAAAAGATATAGGACAGATGATGAGAACATCTTTCTCCCAGTCTTCAACCTTGAGTCAGCCACCTTACCCCCGACCTTCTGGAACCTCCAGGCTACAGACCACCCTTCCCTCCTGCCATCCGCCCCTCTCCCACCTCACACTTATCTTGTGAGCGGTCACCCCCTGGGGAACCGCACGCTCCCTCCTGCAGAGGGAACAGCGTCCTCTCTGACCTGCGGCTGTCCCTGAAGGCAGGAGTTGGACAATGAACCAAGTCACAGAGACAGTTCCTACAGGTCACACAGCCCCCACCCTGAGTCCGAGTGTGTGATTTTTTTTTTTCTTTTCTTTTTGCCCAACTTGGACTCATTTCTTTCAGCTCATTCTCTTCAAAGACTGACATGAACTATCTAAACCTTTTAAAGAGATGGGCTTGAATTAGGAATGTGAACCACGGGCAGAAGAAACGGTCACGTGTAACTGTGACCACCATGTAACTGTGACCACTGTGTGCACAAATAACAGCTCGAGAAGTGTTCCATCCCCAGAACACAGCCGCCCGTGATGTGACACAGCACCGGCTGCAGGAATGCTGCTGAGGGGTTTGGTCCCATCCCCGGAGGTGGCACTCTGAGCAGCACAGACCGGCGTCATGGGAACGCGGAGCTCTGCCCGCCCCCGGGGCCCACACGTCAGAGGACCCCGCCCGCGTGGACGCGGGCCTACTGTGCGCGCGGCGGGGACTCACCGTCCTGGAAGACCCTCTCCACGTTCAGGCCGTACGTGGCGCACGTCTCGTAGTACGTGCACCGCTTCAGGTCGCTGGAGAGCTTCCGCGCCCGGCAGTCGTCGATGACGCGCGGGTTGGTGGAACTGATGGCATCTGGAACAGACAGACGCGGAAGGCGACACGGTGACCACACGGGGCGGCCATTCCTGCCACAGCCTCAGGCCACAGAGGAGCCAAGACCTGCACCTCACCGGCAGGGACGGGATTCTTTTCCGAACCTGGAGTTTTTAGAACACAGTCCACCCCCACAATCATCATCTCACACACACTAGACTAGAGGTCACTGGTCGAAGTCTGTTTCAGGGGCTCCTGCGTCTGAAGTGGAGTAAAAGACTGCCCAGAAAGACCAAGAGACAGAGCAGGAGTTAAGGGCGGCCCCCGAGGAAAAGAGCTTAAGCAGGGAGAACCCCAGGGCTGCAGCCTGCAGGTGGCCTGCTGATGCACAAAGCTCGTGCTGAAAGCATCCTGAACACCCAGCACAGCTGTCGGAGCCTCCGGGGGAGTCTGGTCACCCCAGTGCAGGCACTGACACCCCCGTTTACACAGCAGGCAAAACCCCACACGCCCATGGGGGTATCCAAGCCGGCTGGAGAGGGAGGCAGGAAGTAATAAAGATGAGGAATGAGACCAATGCAGGGCATTGCTGCTGGGAGCCGAGTGAGACGGGGTGGGGTGAGGATGAGGAGGTCAGGGAACTCCTTTTTGTCTTCCGAGATGTGCTGTCACTAACAGAAAGGAGCCTGCCCGCCCCCCCCTCAGCACTGCAGGCAGTGCTCTCCTGTTTCCGTTCATTTGTAACTGCATCTTTTTATAGCTCCTGCTTCTCCCTCAGACCAATTTAATCTGCGAGCCTTCAAAACGGACCAGTTAAGCAAACGTCACAATCCCCTCATCCAGAAGTGAGCGTCCACATGCCCCAACTGTCCCAGAGAGAGGACCCATTTTCCAGTGTCCTCCCATGCCGGCTGAGCCCCATAGCAGCCTGGGTACCCCGAAGGAAGGAACTTAACTCATCTTCTTCCACCCCCAACCTCCAGACCTGAGGGGTCCAGCTGCCGGGGCTCAGACACTCCCCTCTGCTCCTGACACCATGAACACTGATGTGTGAGGTAACACACCACTCACATAGAACCTTTGGCCTCACTGAAAGCTCACCCACTCCCTGTCCAGTGAGCCTCCAGCAAAAAGGCACGTGAGTCTGCAACACAACGCCCTCAGGCAGCTGGTGAGGAGAGGCCCACAGAGCCTGACTTTGCTCAGAAATACCCTCCGCACGCTGCAGGAAGGGGCGCTTATTGGAAATGAATCGCTTCCTCTTTAAGAAGCTTTAAGCAGGATCTGCTTTAGATGAGCTACTCACCCTAAAACATTAAGAACTGTCAAGCCATCACATATGCCAATGCTGTACATAACAGACCAAGGACTTTTCACTGGCATGCCCTGTTTCCTGTTGACCACTAGAGGGCACTCTATGCTAAAGAATCTCTCTCCTCTTTGTTTTTAGGTTAACTCTTCCCCCTCTGAAGGTTTTGCTTATTTGACCAACTGCCATTAAAAATATGCTTTAATAAAAAATAAAAAAATAAAAAATAAAAAGAGCGGGGCTAAGGTGTGCTCTCCATGAAAGCTGTAAAAAGTGAGCCTTCAGCAGGAAATTATTTCTTCTTTAATCCACTTTGAGATTGCTCCACACCAAACACACAGATCATGAATCCGCTCATTGCTCCACTGCAGAAATCCTATTGTTTTAAATATTTTTTTTATAGGTTAGAGAGAGAGGGAGCAGGAGAGAGAGAAACATTGATTGGCTGCCTCCTGCATGTCCCTACTGGGGATCAAACCCACAACCTGGGCATGTACCTTGACCAGGAACCGAAACTGTGACCTTTTGGTACACGGGATGATGCTCAGCCAACCGAGTCACAGCGGCCAGAGCCACTGCCCCAAAGCTTTAACCGCGACCTGCGCGCTGATGCCACTCACCCTGGGTTCCCACCAGCACCAGCGGGATCTCGCTCGTGCTCCGGTAGCTGGCCATCCGGCTGTAATAGTGGTAAACCGTCTGGAAGCTGATCTCATCCTCCAGGCTGAAGACAAATATGACAGCGTCCACCCACATGGCAAACTAGGGAGAGAAGAAGGCAGGAGGCAGAGGAGTTGAGTGAGGAGACGCAGGGGGAGAAAGGGCTGGGTCTGCACCATGTCATCTTCAAATAATAAATATAAAATTAAGTGAGAACAAGACCTTAGTAACAAAGAATCCTGAGACACTCCAGGACTGGACAGGCACTCCAGGACTGGACAGTCACCCCCTCCCTTCTCTACCTTGAGAGCATTTCCCTTTCCCCATGTGAAAGGGGGTAGAGCAGGAGCACCTCAGTGCCTCAAGTCCCTGGGACCAGCCTCACCCCCAAAAACCTAAGCCGCCACTGTCTGGACCTCCCTGCAGAGGAAGTGCAGATCGCGCCCCATTCTCTGCAGGTGCGTCCTGACCGCCCAGCACCAGCAGGTAGCGCTGTTCCAGGACATCTCACCAACTACCCCAAAGAGAGCAGTTTCCACACCACCCTCAGCGGCCTCTAGTGGCCACAGCCTCGGGAATCCATCCACAACACCGTGGTCACTGGGCAGACAATGTAAATGCGGTGAAACCACGGAAAGGAACCCGTGCTCACACAGCTCACACAGCCTGGGGAAGGGAGCCAGGGGACGGTTTTCCCCCTTGAATACTCACGTACATGCTGCCCCATTTTGTACAAAATTCTGGCCATAACTTTGAAAGGCTCCATGGGGATATCTCCCAAAGTAGAAACCTTTAGGGTCAGCTTCTAGGCTAAGGTTTCTGAAGGAAGCGTGACCTCATTTGAGGGCTGGTCCCTGGGGAAACCGAGGGGACACATTCTCATGGCCAGAGGCAAAGACGGAGACCTTCGAGATCCCGGTCCTCCCCACCCCGGTGCTGGTGCCACCAGCAGGCAGAACACGGGGGGCTGTGCCCTTTCACCAGGTCTGGCCTCGGGCGGCACCTCGGGGCATTGGATGGGAATGCTCGGGCAGCCTCCCTGGGCACCTGGAGAGCTAGAGCTGACCCAGACGGCATTCCCCCCAGTCAACAGACTCAGCTCACAGCATGTGCTCGGCTCATAAAGTAAGTAAAACGCTACACTGGACGTGAAGTAAATGGGAGAAAGGCGTCCCACACACGGGCTTTTTTTTTTTTAATCTCTGTGACGCCCAGCGTTCAAAGAACTTCCCGCCTGCACCAGGGTTGCCAGGGGCCTGACTCGGTGGGGGTGGCGGAGAACACAGACGTTCCCGGAGGTCAAGCAACAGCGCCGCCAGGTTGGCGCACAGTGTGCTCTTCCTCCCTTCTCAGCACCACGGAGAGTGACCCCTGGCTGCACAGCCTGAGCCCGCCTCTGGGATTTGATCTGAAGGAAGAACAGAATGAGTGCCTCAGAGGTGAGAAGAACCTCCATCGCATAAGACATTCATTCTCACGGGCCTCTCTGTCCCCTTCTCCTGAGCTCACCGGACAGATTTCTCAGTCCAGTTCCAACTCCCGGAATCAGAACCGTAGCCAGAAGAAACAGGTGAAGGGCCAGTGAGCCACCGGCATGTAATACTCACCTGTGCCTCAGGGGGGCCCCCTTCATCTCTAATCAGCAGCAGATAGCTCTGTCCGTCAACAACAATCTCTTTCTTGAATCTGCCACCTGCCACACACACAAAACACCTCGTTATGCAAGAAAGACGGAGTGCGCGGAGGGCAGACAGACGTGGGCTTCGCTTGTGGAAAAATACACTCTGGGCTGCCGCCCTGGAGGCAACTCTGAGCCTCTAGGCGTGGCTTTCGGATCTGCCTCCAGCGACCACCGGGTTTTGAACGAACTGAACTCAGATTTAGGTGTTTATCATAAAGGACCCTCGTTCGTTTCTGCTGGAATGCACAGCCTTGCGTGCCGGGTGGGAGGACGCGGGCTGAGGGGCTGGAGTTTGAGTGCAGGCCTTGTGCCTAAACCCAGGGACCCTCGCTCGCTGGGGGCACGGGTGCAGAGTTCAGGAGAGCTCGCTAAAACCGTCCTCCGCGTGTGCAGTTTGCCAAACAAATGAATCTGCGAGGCCTCCCAGGCGCCTCCCTGCACCACGTGCGGACAAATCGGAGGGCTGAGGACCTGTATTCTCCTCAAGAGAAACCCAGTTCTTGGTGGGAACACAGAACATCATGGGGATGGTGCTTCGCAGTCACACTTCACGGGTGAGGGGTGCCGACTACTACACACGGTTAGACAGCAGCTACTGACGGCAGCTCCGCACGCAGACAGCAGAGCAGCGGTGGACAGAGGGTTAGGGCCACGCGGGTTAGTGAGGAGCCTCCGGGAACCCCTGCTGGGGGGGGGGGTGAGCCGAGGTGCACACACAGAGATGGCAAGGACTGTCCCTAACATCTGGGCCCCTCGAATGCCCAGGTGGGGGGCACGCCACTGCCACCAGCATCTCCCAGCACCGCCCCGGGCTGAGTTGCCAGGCGCCCCCCTGGACAGCGGGAGAACCGCCACTCTGGGTCCCTGGTCCCTCTGCACCTCCCAAGACAATCCGCCTTCTGAGCCTCCGAGCGAGTCCGCTCCAGGCGACCCTCGCCGGCTCTGGATTCTGTTTCTTTTTCTTTCTTTCTTTCTTTTTTTTAACATTATTTTATTTTTTACTTTTTTTGTATATTTTATCTATTTTTTACAGAGAGGAAGGGAGAAAGATAGAGAGCCAGAAACGTCAATGAGAGAGAAACATCGACAAGCTGCCTCCTGCACACCCCCTACTGAGGATGTGCCTGCAACCCATGTACATGCCCTTGACCAGAATAGAACCTGGGACCTTTCAGTCTGCAGACCGACGCTCTACCATTGAGCCAAACCGGTTTGGGCTGGATTCTGTTTCTGAGTGAAGAACACATCAGTCCTGCTGCACGTGCAGCTCCTTCCTTCCAGAAACTGCACCGAAACCCCAGGAACCGCACGCTGGAGAGCCAGTTGGCAGGCCCTCCCACCGACCCAGAGCCCGCACCCAGGTCCTCTGCCGCCCGGGGCCACATTTCGCTCGGCCGGTGGCCCAACGAGGGTCCTTCCACCCCAGGGCCCAGGGTCTGTGGGGGGCTGGGCCATTCCAGCACCCGAGAGGCAGGAGGAACTGCAGTTCTGCGCCAGCACACACGCCTCCACTCCCACACACCTCGCCGGGCACCGCGTGACAGAGAAAACACTTGCTTTCCTGGGGTCGGTTTGCTCAATAAGAAAAGCCAAAGACAACTTCCAGCATCCAGAGGAAGCACAGAACCTCAGGGTGCGCTCCTTCCCTGTCACCGAGCAAGAATGCGCAGGGGAGCGGAATAAGGCACATCGGAGGGGTGGAGCAGACTGTCCACACCTGGATGCAGACCAGCACCTGCGCTGCCAGCTGCAGGAGGGTCTGCAATGACCTGCCACCCTCACATCGCTGCTGGCTCCTCGAGGGGAAAGGAGATGGCACGCCCTCCTGGCTAGGCTGTTGTGACTACAGAATGAGCTACGAAGCACCTGGCACAGGACAGAAGCCCCCACCCCACACGCCGGCGTCACAGCCACGAGACCCTGATGCTGGACCAGCTCTGCAAGGACCCTGGTGCTGCCCACTCCTAGCAGACCGCAGAGCTGCACGGAGCCCTGTCCGAGGGGCGTCTGCACGGAGGCACCGGCGCCCCATCTGTGTTGTCATTCTGCTTTCGGGGGGAAGGAGCAGATGGAATTTTCCTATTCCAAAGAGGGGGAGAGCTTAGAGTAAACACTGCCACAGATGTTTGACATTTCTGCTTCTATGTTCCGGCTAATTGGACTGAAAGCTACGAACGTATCATTAACGTTCTGCAAGCGACAGAGAGGGATGTGATAACAGCGAGCCTTCGCTAGTTTGCATTTCTTCCCCGTCACCCGGGCCGCCATCCCCTCCCGGATCTCCCGGGCAGACCACGCAGACCGAGGACGTGGGCCGAGGTCCCCGGCCCCTCGCAGCTGGGAAGGGCAGGTCCATGCACGCTGCCGCCTGCCGCCGCTCCTGTGCTCTCTGCACAGCCCAGCCCGGGCTGGGGCCCCACGGTCTGCCCGTGGCCGCCCAGCACCCCGAGGGTGACCTGGGGAACGCAGGGCCCGTCTTTTCCCTCCTCCACTCACAGCCCAGCAGCGGGCTGGCGGCCTCCAGCTCCAAGCTCGCCCTGTGCTTAGGGAAGAATAAAGAAATTCACCCGCCTGTCACTTGACTGCACTTTTTTAACCATTCAGCTTTACTTTTCCATGCAAAAACAAAGAGTGAAAATCTGCCTTGCATTTCAAACTCTAGTACTATTTCCCTTTTCCATAAAAATGGGAGGAGCATTCTTCTAGCTTCTGATCAGATAGGGCCAACCAGCATCGGTCCTTCCCTCAGGTACACACAGGCCTCGGCACTGAGTCTCCTACCTCACCGGTGAGATTCCCGTCCACGAAAACATTTCCAACATTTGCCTAAAACGTTCTTCTTCCTGACTCAGCCCCATGGTGAAATAGCAAGAATGCCTGCAAAATGCATCGCTTCCTAATTGTTTCAGACAAGTGGAATGAGAGGGCTACATTGAAAAGAACCAAGAATCTCTTTCATTTCTCTAAGAGAATATTAAAAAATCTTAATTACAAATGTGCCAGAAATTTTTTTAAAAAAATTAATTTTACTCTTTCAGCTTTGACAAATACACTGAAATGGTAATTGATGAACACCGAGATTCTGGAGACAGTTCGTATGGTGACATTTAAGAGAAATGTTGGGCCGCATGTTATTTTTACCCCGGGGGGGAAATTTTATTGGTAACATTTTAGTGTATAAAATTTAACTGAATCAGGTTTCATTTCCTCTGCCAAATTTTTTTTTTTTATCTTACATTGATTTTTTTTTTTAAGTGACTCCATAAGCTACACTCACAGGAGGGATCTAACGTGTGGTGACTGCTATGTGGTGACATGGGGACTTCCTGAGCAGGCCAGGGTCTCCGAGGGCTTCATTAACCCCCATCTAAGCAAAGTAAAAAGGAGATGGGGAAGGAAGGAAGAAAGGGCATCATCCACCGAGAAAGGGGGTGTGGCTTCCCAAACAGAACGCAGCCAACTCTGGCCTGAGAAAGATAGGAGTCCAGAGCTGGTGGATGGGCGCCTAGTCTCACAGCCACACAGCCCCCCGTGTGGAGGGAAGAAACTAAGTTGTCCAGCAGACAACACAGGGAGGGCACACGGAGGCATTTTAAATGTAACTCAGGAAGCAACACCCAGCCCCAGGTGTGTGGCCCAAGCACCCTCCAGCAGGTGATTGACAGCTGGCAAAGGGGAATGTGGGCAGAGAGGTCCATCCCTTCTCCTCCAGCCCCTCCTCCTGCACAGGAAACCAGATGTTGGGGAGCTCCCCACACCCCATGTCTGACAGGGACTGAGGGAGAGAAACCATCCCTTCCCCGCAGCCACCCTGAGATGCCGGTGGCCCCAGGCCGTGTGGGTGACCCTGAGCGGTGCCCGTGTCCCTGAGCAGAGCCGAGATAGCATCCGTTTCAGCAGGGGCCTGGGCTGACACCCGAGGACGAGGAAGCTGGAGAAATGGGAGGACATCGTGCACAGAACTAAGGAGGGAATAGGGGTGCAGGGGGAGGGGGGGTATGGTGGTGATAGGAGGTCAGTGGAGGGAAGAGGGGTGGGAGGGAGCCAGCAGAACAACCAATGGAGAGGAAAACAAAGCCCCAAAAGCAGAAGGAAACCCCTTCGAGTGTTCCCTCCAGAACTCCACTTAAGGAAGGGCATTCAGAAAGGCAAGGAGTCCAGGGATGAGAGTTCGAAACCACAGGAGATGGAAAACTCTAGAACTAAGGAGGAAACTGAGGGTCCTTATGACTTTGATTCACTTTGGCTTTGAATCCTAGCTTTGGGAATTCTCTCAACCCCTTCAGAGACCTAGCCCCCCACCCCGATACCCAGCAACCACCGAGGCAGCAGAGGACAGCACCAGACCTGACTGATGTCCCAGGTCAGGCCTCCGCAGGCCAAGGATCACACCTTCTCCTGAGTTCTGTTCCAGCTCCTGAGCCCTCAGGTGGAATGACCCTCTGGCTACTTTCCCACAAAACCAGACAGAGGGGCCCGGGAGCAGACCTCAGAGCGTCCTCAGACCTGAAGAAATGACTCATCACCCCCTCACCTCCCACGGTCAGCTCCCAGCACCCCCTGGACCCCTAACCCTGGAGCCGGTGCCTTTGCCCACAGAATCCGTCCCCTTCGCGCCATCAGAGCTCGGGCTTTGGCGCATCAGCTCCCACTCTCCTGGGTGGCACGGTTCCCGATAAAACGGCCAAGGTTTCTCATTGTGGTTCTCCGTGTCTCTCTCGTGTTTGGCTCCGCAGCACCGATGGCTGTGCCCTTTCTGCTCCATAACAAGGACCAAACCCACTTTGCAAGGAAGAGATAAAATGTGGAAAAGGAACAGAGGAGACACTGCTAGAAACTGAGTTTCTAACACGGAGAAATGGCTTGAAACAAACACAGCGCGATGAAAAAGACAGAAATAAAGTATTTAAAGAGCAGTCAACTCCCAGGAAGACAGAAAAACGTACCTCGCGAAAGGATCGATGGTATTTCTGCCAACAAACGCCCAAGAAAAGAACTGACAGGCTCCTCAG